TGGTTGGGAGTCTGACAGGTGGGAGTCTGACAGCGTGTCCTAACCAGCTGAGACGGCGTTTGCAGATGATGGAGGACACAAGCTGGTTGTTAGTTGGCTTGGAGTCTGATGTTCTTATTTGAGATAAAGTCGTTCCATCTAATGCTCAGGATTTTCCTTAAGCACTTGCTGTCTATGGCATCAAGTCTCGTTTCTTGAGTCCTACATCCTCTCCTATATTTTTGCGGAGCTATAATAGGTTTGTTAACCAGGCTAGTGACCCTGCCATGGCCAGTTCCTCTAACTTAGACGCGAATTATACGTGAGCTTAACGCAAGAAATCCTCAGGACTAGTTGACACCCACGGGGGGTAGATTCTAGACATCACAATTACAGCGGGCAACGCGTGCATTTTCTCAAGTGTGCATGGAATTTAGGCTTTGTAAACATTATCACATTTTTGTCGCCAAAATGTCTGCCCCGAAACATCAGATCTGCTCACTACATTAACTGCCTCACAGACTGAGTAAATAGTTGTTCAGACAAAATCATTTCAGATCCTTTGGACCTAATCATAGAAAGACGCAAATTTTGTCCCGTTTTAACGCGTGAACTCCTGTGAGAGTAACTCGGAAGTCTTGCACGAAATTGTAGCGTCAAACTTCATTCAGACAAGGGACTTTCAAATTGTTTACTGTGGGTCTAAACCCTGGAGAATCCATGGTGATAGAACCTTATTATAGTTATCATTACTCTCAAGCAGAGTTTAGCCGTGGCTAATGTGGCGTATTTAATACGTTGTATCGAGCTCTCTTTCTTGTACATTTTATCTTGTATGTTTTTTTGCGCAATGGTAATTGTCTGGCAAATGGAAACTGGCTGGCCAATTTTATACCGTCTTGCAGGCACCGGAAGATCTGCTTGGAGATTTCCAAAATCATATCCAGTTGCTTGAGTAGCTCCTTTTTGGCGTATCGTATTACCTGGATGTCTAACCTTCATCGACGTGCTTGGAGATTGCATCTTGATAGCCATGACCGCGAGTTCTCGCATAATATGAAATCTGGATGTATCTGGACGAGTTGTAATAAATCAGAAGACACGAGATGTTGGAAAGTCGTCTTCTTATCGATGATTCCGCATCATCCGGTCCACCCACAGAAAAAGAAATTCCCTCCCGCCCATGCGTCACTCTGGACGTTAAAGACGAACAAAGTGTTGGCTTGTTGCCACCAACGTGTACATCACTCCTCGATGACACGCACGGTTCTGCCAATCCCGTATCCAGCTAAAAGACTTCAAAGCACACAACATCTTCGAACACATTCGTCAAAGTCAGCGGTGCCCAGCCTAGTCGTCTGTTATTAGCGGGATCTTATGATGTAAAACCCATGCTGCTTCAAATATCATCCCTAAAAGCAAAGATAAAAGTCTCGCCGTGACATATGCTGCTTTAAGAAGATGTTGGGATGAATGATTGTTACCCCCCCCCCTTCAACATGGCCTGACATCCCTAAGCGACAACAATATAGGGCAAATTATTTTTATGTGTTTCATATAATACTTTAACGTTTTGATATATTGGAACTATATATTCAAAGGGCACTCAGATCAATGTTTGGTCGTCTAACATTAATGGCCTACATTTTCTGACTGCCGAGCCGCTGAGAGCGCCCGACGTTACGACTTGCCACCTACAATCTGATCGTAATTTATTTTTTCTAAATTAACGGAGTCAGTTATCACTTCTTAACTTGTCTTGTGTTGGACACGATGCAGTTTCCTACATCACTGAGTGATGTGTTTTGCCCTGGGCATAGATTTGGATCGACAGTCATTGCTAGCTCAACGACTCATGTTGGATCCGCATGTAAAGTACAACTGTTGCCTTCAGGGCGAAAAGGTAGAATCACCATGTACCTGTCCATGTTAAAGGGAGCTGATATGCTATCCCAAAATAACCCTTCCTTTCTCTTGCCTTAAATGACCTTTTAGAGAGACATCACTTGATAGATCAAGGCCGAAAATGGTACGAAACAAAAAGTAAAAAGGATGAAAATTTGACTATCGTGGGAAAACATCACATTGAAAGCTACCGACGTGAGGGTAGTATTGCATGCCTTAACCCTCAAACACCCGAACGGGGTCCATTTGGACCCCAGACGTATATTTTTATGTGCTATTCTAATTTTTTTTTATTCTAAAAAAAACTTCCTCCCGTGACTTTGTCAGTAAACCTCTTCTACAAGTTCTCCTAATTTTTTTGGAGATCGGCACAAATTTGTAAAAATAACAACGGAAGTCTGATGTAAGACCGTCTGGGGTCCAAACGGACCCCAGCCATGTATTTTCACTTTCCTACACACGAAATTGTTCGGATGTCCTCAATATGTGTTCAAGGAAGCATTATTTAATATTATGCAGTTTGCCAAGTAACCTCAACCTCAGGAATTATTTCATCATGTGTGTGCACGCACATGCACACACGCACGCAAGCACGCACACACGCACACACACACACACACACACACACACACACACACACACACACACACACACACACACACACACACACACACACACACATGCACACACACACACATGTACACGTACTATCACACACTAAAAGAGTTATCCAGCCATCCCGTTTCAGCGAACAAAGTACTTGCCAAATACTGAGCCAAGTTTCTATCGATGGAAGAAGACAGCATTTTGCCTCAGGACCTGTTTTTCTGTCCGAGTTCCTGTTTCCAATTAACAAAGCCCATTTATCACTCCGTCAGCCAATCGTTCCGTCATGATCCGGGTCTATCTGTGCGCGACACGCGGAGGAGGAGATCCTGCATGGAGGGACGGTTGAGCATGTAGAACGGAGAAGAGCTATTATTAACAGCTTTCTGTGGTTTACTGAAGTACGCTAATACTGGTATTTTTCTGGCCGACTTCTACTCTTATCAGCCGTGCCTTCAGAGGCCTGGAAAGGCCAGAGATAGAGGAGGTGCGTCACAGAGCTTTGATCCGTTGGCACGAGTTTGCCAAGTTTCGCTAACACTGGATTTCCTGGAATGCGATACTACGCTTAGAGAGAGGGAGGGGGTATAATATATTTTCTGGTGCAGTCCTCTGGAACTCACTTCCTCCTCATGTCAGAAATGCAAGAACACTCAGTGTCATCATTAAGACCACCTTTTCATCACTCAGCATTTGATGTGATCTCTTTGCTGTTAATTTTCCATTTTTGTTTATAGACATTGATATGCAATTTCAGTTCCATAATCATTATCATTTTATTTACATCATTTGTCATATTTGTTTAGTTAATTTTACTTGACTTTATTAGTCAGTTCCGTTTCTTTTATTATAACTAGCCTTTGATTGTACCTTTTATTATGTAATGTATGTCACAGGGAGCTTTGAAAAGCTCCAACATGGCGATATGCTAACCCTGTATAAATAAATAAATAAAAATGAAAATGAAATAAGCTTGAAAGCAAAAAAACTGATTGAATTACCCAGCTTGTGATCAATAATTTACGACTTGCAATCATGACGCATCTTATGGGATTCGGACGTTTTCATTCACTTCTCTTCTGCTGGTAATGGGAGGATGTTTTATTCATCCACGTTTCGGTTTAGCTTTATCAACGCTGACGAATGTTCATTTATCACGGCAATTTTCCCGTGTTTGTCATAATGAACGGCTTCTGTAGTTACAAGAAGACATTTTCATTCACTTCTGTTCTGCTGGTAATGGCAAAATGTTTTATTCATTCCTTTATCAGTTCAGCGGCACCAACACATAGAGAGTATGCATATAACGTACGTTTCTGTACATGATTATATATGTAGAAAATGCCCTTCTAAGAACACAATGAAGGAAAGTGTAAAGAGACTCTTTTTACACAACCAAGTGTTTTATTCAGCCGACGTTTCGGTGACCGTCTGTCACCTTCCAGTCAGAATTACCCCGAGGAAGGTAACAGACGGTCACCGAAACGTCGGCAGTGAATAAAACACTTGGTTGTGCAAAAAGAGTCTCTTTACTCAGTGTCTTACCAACCTGATGAAACTGTTCACGGACGATAAAGGAATCTTCATTTACCACGGCAATTTTCCGTGTTTGTCCTAATGAACGGCTTCTGTAGTTACAAGAAAACAGATCGATCTCTCCTGATGTGTCCGTCCCCTTCGCTGCAGTAGATCATCACGGCCGGTTCATTCCGCTACCGTAAGTTCTGCTAGTGCAGCGTACTCTCCAAGCAGAGGTTGTGGGGAATGATCGTTAGCTTTTTATATATGGCCGTTTTTTTGTCGCTACTCTCCAAGCAGAGGTTGTGGGGAATGATCGTTAGTTTTTTATATATGGCCGTTTTTTGTCGCTACCCCCACCAACCCGTCGGTGGCCGGCGACCTTCTCTGGTGAATGGATACTGCCTGGCCAATTTGATACTGTCTTTTTGCCACCGAAAGGGATCTGCTTGGAGATTAGTGCAGCGTGGAACACAATCCTGTGGTTGAGTAATTGTAAATATTAGAGATGAAGGATGACAACAACAGCCGACAATCTTTCATTTTTTTTTTTTATCTTAGTTTATTTTACAATACATTGTCTATCTGTCCGTTATTGCACTCGCATTTGGGTACTTTTCTTTGTACAAAACAGTAGACGCAGTTTGATCTATATCCATGGTGTGTTTTATACCGAGACGTTGATAGCTTTTTATGTATTCGGGCGGTGCTTAGTCACTTACTTATTATCTTGCCAGAGGCTCAGGAAATCTGTTTTAGTTTTCATATCAATCTCGTTATGAAATTCTGCAACGGGAGTCCTACAACAGGAGTTGGCGGAAATGATGAATGTCGCCTTGAAGTTTTTCAGAAGACGTCACGGTCACGTGAGCCATCCCGCCGCCGTGATTGGTGGAGGTGCGGACGGATGTGTCCTTGCGCGCGAGAGTGAGTCAGGCAGGCCGTAAGTCCGGACAGAAGGGGAGCGGCACGGCAGCGGCAGGGCCGGCAGCATGGAGACCCTACCGGCACGGAGAGCAGGGGCGCAGGTCCTGGTACTGCTGGCTATCATACGGTAAGATGCTTTTTTTCTATTATGTGCTAACGTAAACAATAGCCTGGGGTGTGTGGTGATGGGACATTACAATAACACTCCTGGCTAATCATTACCTTATCTTACCTGGGCACTTGGCCCCGTGTGGAGCATAGGCCACCGACGATTTTCCTCCATCCACCTAGTTTCTGGGTTTCCCCCTGGGTTGTAGCATTACAACAACGCTCCTGGCTAATCATTGTTTTACAGCAACTGCAAGGTTCTAGCTACCTGTAGAAGTCCTGATGCTTGAAAGGAGATGTCGTTGTTGTTGTTGTTCGTCCTTTGTGCTTGACGATGACCAGTGACATAAGATGCCGGTGTACTCTTGTTTTAAATGACTGGAGGTTGTTGTCGGTAATCAGGCCAACCACGTTGTCTGGGAAACTGTTCCAGATGTATGTATGAAAGTTGTGCCGGTGGAATCTAGAGACTGGCACAGTGACGACTGAAGGCATGGTTTCCATTGGAGTGACTACTGCGAGTTCATTAGATAACCTTACAGGATATGATCAAAACTATTCCGGTCTAAATGGTGTTAGGAGTGATTCCAACAGCCCCCATAACACCTGCGTCTCCTATTAGGTCTGTTTAGTCCTCTCAGTGAGCCGACCTTTTCAATTTCAATTTTCTATTTCATTAAGAATAGTCAACATTGCAGGGGTACATAGTGTGGACTTTACATATTATTAAGTATAGGAAACGCACAAGACAATTACATACAAGAGTGGGACATGAAACAAAAGAACACTAGGTCTGCAGTCTGATTGTGCAGTGGAGGAACGAGTTATACAGTCTGTTTGTCCGTGCCTTGGACACCGTGATTCCACCAGAGTTCCTCAAACACCTCCCTGTGCTGTCCGACCTGGCTCCTGGTACCAAATCATGTAGTGGGTGGTCAGGGCTGAGCATACGCTTGAGCAGCTTGACAGCCGCAAGTTCACGTCTTTCTCGGAGTGTAGGGAGGTCGGGAACATTCCTCCTTCCACCCAGAGAGACCTTGTCTCGGGCATTGGTGATTCTGTTAAGGGAGAAGAGATGCTGTTCCAGTAACTCAAACTTAATTTATTGGCTATATAGAAGTACTACCTTGGCCATGCAATAAGCAAATTGGTTACAAAAGACATCTTTTACAGAATCCTAATTTCTGTAATAATTTTCTTTCATAGTGGCTTGTGGAAGTAATTCACGTTCTAATGTTGCCATTAAATGTTGTGACTCTAAGGTAATATCTTTACTAACATTGAAAGCAGTGCATTTATTTGACGCAAAACACTTGGTTGGATTAACGGCTAAGCGAAGGTTGGCAGTGTTTTTCAAGCTCGTGTTTCGATTCGTAAACACTGTCTGTCAAATCTGTATCTGCATCGGTATAGCCGGTATAACCGCCTTTCGGCGTAACACACCAGCTTCGCAGGCACGCGGCGCGGCGGCAGCTAGCTATATCACACCGAACGGCTTGTTACACTCAATCTTTGCACATTTGATTGTAGGAGTTGTTTAAAGCTTTCTAGTGATGATGCCCCAACTGTGCTTGGTGGCAACGAGTTCCAGTCTACGATAGTTCTGGGGAAATACGAGTTTAATAATACATTTGAAATATTACTAGGTCACTTTTGCATCGGTTCAAATGGACGGTATGAATAGGACGGCTGTTGTGGCGTCTTGTTCCTATTGGTTCATGTTTTACTGTTGCAATCGATTGCTGCTACCTGAAAGTAATCTTTATGGCCAACAGTCAAAGCACCGGATTGACTTATGACTGCTGATCAAAGGTTGGCAATTTTTTATCAGGCACGTTTGCGAAAACACTGTCTTTCAAAAGTCCATTACAGATTTTTTACTATAAAGTTTACTAGCTCGCCTATGCATTGGATGTATTGGACGAAACGTCTAGGTAATACTTAACTTATACAGAACAGACAATTGCTATCTTAGCCAAATGTATACAGTACAAAATGTAATGTACAAAAGTGACGCACGTCAAAGCAAAAAAAGGATGAATCCTTTCAGAAAATGAGACTAAGCATGAGATTGCAAATTAGAATAGTGCACTTTTAAGTACTTGCGACGTTATACCCTTGTTATCTTCCCTTGCCCAGGCGCTAAGTACGGTCTATAGATTTCACACTTCAGGGATGTCTTGGAGGATTAGGAATCCGCCAGCGGTTACTTAATTATCTCTTAATGTCTGTCACTAGGGCTATCAAAAACGTGGATTCCTGCCAACTCAAAAAGGTGCACTTCGCAGCCCTGATAATATATTAGTCGGCTAGCAAAACAGACTACAGCATGCAGAATGTATTGCTACGCAAAGGGAATGCTTGAATTCACGTGATTTAGCACGAGGCCTCCGAATTGAAGTCGTATTTCTTAAGGGCCATCTTTAAGGCTATAAAATGCGTGGATGCCTGCCAACTGTTGAAAGTACATTTGTATCCCTGATAGTGCCTTACATATAAGACCGCAGCTGGCTGTCGGTTCCCAAACTGCCCAGGCAGTCCTGTCATCAGTCAGTGTTCACACAGATGACAAACCCACAGAGGACTGCTCCTGGGTAGGTGATTCATATCTATGCCAGAGGTTGAGATAATTGGATACCAGCAGCCCCCTGGCATTTGACTCCTTGCTCCTCTCGTCTGTTTTCATACATAAGTCAAAATCAGACCGTGTTTTTGGAACAGTCTCGTGAGGATGAAAGATGCCACACTGGACTCTCGCTTCTTTCCGTGAAATGTCGCGCGATGCCCTTTTCATATATCAGCATCTAACTGCCTGAAAAGTCAAGGACTAAGTTGATTGCTAAATGCCCCCAACTGCGATACCCGGGTCCAAATATGTCTGGGAATATGATGACTGATGCTATACCTTGTAGCTTGTTGTAATGTTTCCTCGTAAACTAACAGCCGGGGCTTTCGCCTTATTATGAAAACCTACGAGCAATGCAGGGATGCAACTTCATCCACAGCATTCCCGTAGCCAGGATTTTGAATGGGAGGGTTCTTCCCACAGCTTGAGGGGACTAGCGAACGTCGTAGCTGATAGACGAGCGCCGACGGCGCGAGGTTCCTAGAAGGTCCGGGGGCATTCCCCTCCCCCCCCCAAAAAAAGAGAAAACTAAACCTTCTGAAATGGCATTTCTTTCGTTTCTGAGAGGATTTCAAAGAAAAACATCAGAGATAACTTTTTATTCAATGACAAACTAGGCAGTTTTTCTACGATTCCAGCCCCACTGGTGATACGGATCAGTCCATCTTTAGAAGAAAAATCTTGGACCTTTAGATACAAAGTGGACCTTTGAGCTTTGTGGGGGGGAGGGGTCGTCCAAATCCCCCCAAAAAACCCTGGCTACAGGCATCCACACAGTGATCCAATCACTATATATGAGCTGGTAGGTTGCCAGTTGCCAGTACAAAGGATCTGACGGTGTGGCACAAATGTTGCTGACGCTCTTTGCTCGGGATGTAATTGAAGACTGAGCCTTGAATACATGTTATGTCTGAAATATGACAGCAGGTGGTTAGATAAGGGTCTTAACCATTTTCTTTGACGACAATGTGACGTCAAAACTTTCGTATAAAGACCGCCACAAGAAAAAAACGTATTATCTAGGGATTTCTGAAGGACGTCAAGAGCGCCTGGATACCTGAAGTGTACTTACTCCCGGATTACTGGTGTTGTAATTCGTAGAACTCTTTGAATTCGTCATGTAGAGGTCTTTGGGTGCTCGTATGAATTGTGAGAGCTGAATTTACATGTAGATACAACTGAGCTTAGAGTTTTACCACAAATGTGAACCTAAGTTACAGAATGGACGAATGAATGAATGAATGAATAAATGAATGAATGAACTTCATCGCTCGACAGTTGTACATGGTACAATGTATAGCATCAATAACAATGTGATCAATGCAATCAAGTCTATTCTAAGAGACTACTTTACTACAGGAATATGAACGTAAACGGCGTAGGACATTACGAACAAATGTAAGCCTATATAAGTTACAGACGAGCACAACAAAGTTGCCTGCTAGATCTCTGGATTCTGGCTCAACACCAGTCACTCTAATTCTACATCATGTTTAATTTGTCGCAGCATCGACCCAGGTCTGGATCAATCCATGTAGCATCTAAGCATGTGGGGTCGTGTGGCGTAGCGGCAGAGTGCTCGACTCGGAACTAAGAGTCCCGGGTTCGAGTCCTGACATGCCACCGATCTTGTGCCATTGGCAAAGGCACTTTACAAGACTTTCCTCTCTTCGCTCAGGTGAAAATGAATATTGTATTGTCCCCTGTGTTGGTGGCGGCATTGATATAAGTTTTAAAAACTTGAGTGTGCCGTCACCACGTCTGGTGATTACATGTCGGAATAAATAAATCTAAGTGTGTTGAGCCGAGTCAAGTGGAGACGAATCCGGAGGATGCACTTGTGAGCTGAGACGGCGGCCGCTTTGATAGTATTTGCTTTTCGTGTTGGATACATGAAGTACGTCTCAAAGAATATTTCAGGGAACACTTTGATTTTGACTTGAGGATGATAAAAGGAGGGACGTGCTGACGTGTCTGTTCCTTGTTGTTTTCTTGTCTTCAGTAAGGTCACAACCTGCTGGCAACGTTGACATTTTATACATCACGCAATGTCGTGTCCTTTTTCATCGGCCTTCTAGTGGCTCCAAGTTTAAGTGTGCTTTCAGTCCTTGATGTTCTTTATGTCTGAGGGTCGAAGGGGGCACTAAGTGGACCTGCGGATTCTAGAGGACCTCTTGGCACGATGGCTGTTCGTTCTTTACAGTTTATACCAGATCTGGCATCAGCGGCAAGGGTGCTCATGCTACCGGGTTAGGCTGGCCGTCTGGGACTAGCCCTCCTGCTCCATTGAAGACCTGGGCCTCTTCTAAAAGTAACAACATCTTTTACAAAACCAAACGACCCCACACCCTCCTTTACACCTATTCCCGCCTTGCCAAGAGCCTTTAATCAAT